CCACGGATGAATTCGAACATCGACTCGCCCATTGCCCGACTGTTAATTTCTTTACATTCTTTACATTAAATTAATTAATACATTTGTCTGTTTTTTTTCGCGCCTGTTAAAGTAAAGTAGGACAAACCCTATATCGACGCATTTCCTTTCAACAGGGCTATCCTTTTATGCCTAAAAAATTAGGTAGTGCTATTCAAAAAAAATGTCGATGACGTCATAGGTTCATGAAACATTGTGCAAAGAAGGTTTAAGCAACGTGATATAAGGACAATTCTTATGTACTAATTGACGTATTTTAGCGTTTTTGTGAAAACGCAACACAAAATAAAATACGAATTTTTTGCGTTACTTCTGGGATGCGCTGTATATCTCAATTCGGACACCTCAACACATCAGAGCGACATAACAATAACTGATATTTTCTACCAATCGTTTTCTTTCTCTTTGGTTAAAGTTGCATATATTTTAGAAATTGGATAGCGAGGGCAAAGATGTTATATGTAACGTTTGCAGAAGCAAGTTAAACACAGCATTCGAATTTAAGTCAACTTGTTTGAAGAACGATTACGCAATTATTCCGTATGTGGATTGTGAAAAAATGTTACAGCTCGATATAAGAGACGTGTATACGAAGGAAAAGACAAGCAAGTCAATGGATATTTCAGATAGTCGGAGAATATGTCGATTGTGTATGGAGCCAGTAGAAAGTGAGTTTAGGAGCATACGTGAAGAGGAACTTGAAGCTATCGAGAAATTGGCTCCTGAAATGGTATCAATGATATTAAATAGTTACATTTTTGGCAATTTAATGAAACTACTTTGCAGAATATAAATATCATCAAAGATCCCGTTGTATGTAAGGAATGCTTTGATTCTGTATGCACCCACAACAGTTTCCTGAAAAATTGCTTGGAAGTACAGGAAAAAATTGGAGGTATTTTTAATAGCGCAGCAACAGAGAGTCGGATAGATACGTCACCAGCTGATTTATTCATTAAGTCTGAAAACCAGGATAAAGAATTCGATATCAACGAGATGGAAATGTCAATCAAAGCTGAAAGTATCGACATAAAATCGGAAGATGAGGAAAGCAGGTAAGAGAAGACTATTTTAACAATAATTTAAAAGGTAAGCGTATTACTCCAGATCTTATTTAATTTTGCCTCTCTTGCATTAATTTCTTGTACTTCTGAGGGTTTTCGCATGATAAATTATTTTTAACATATCTTCAATAAAAAATATTACTAATTGTCGTCAATAATTTGATTTATATTGTAATGAAATTGAAATAATGCCCTGTGGAGTTCAGAAACATGCATAATTGCATTTGGAAAAACCATGACCCCTTGGAATTAACACCTCACTTGGGAAAATACCCTGTATATGTATTTTTTTCAGTGACTCGCCACTGCAGAGCTCCGATAGTGAAACATTGATGAAGAGTATCCTTATAGATGCAGAAGAGAATGTATGTAAACATGAGAATAGATCGACAAACGAATGTAATACGAACGTCCAGCAAGACGACAAAATGTTTTACAAATGTGATAAATGTATTTACGAAACTGAAAGCGAGAGCCGTTTTATAGCACACTGTGCGAGACACAAGAACGATTGGGAAGCATATAAATGTGAATCGTGGGAGTCCGAAACAGAAAATAAAAAAATTTTTCAGGAACATCGATTGAGACATAAAGATCCTTTGGAAATGCGTATGCACCGACGCGGATCATGTAATTACAAGACAAAGAACAGGTGTGAGCTTGCTAAGCATCAGGTGAAACACAAAAGCGCATCTAAAGGACGATTGTACGAGTGTGACATTTCTGATTTCAAAACAAAGCAGAAGTTCACCACATTACCGAATAAGGACACTTTACAACTGCCCATCTATAAATGTAATGGTTGCACATACGAATCAAAGAATAAGAGAAACTTTACCAGACATCAGTTGGTACATAAAGATCCTTCGCAGGTCAGAATGTACAGGTGTAATGACTGCGATTACAAAACTAAATACAAGAGTTATATCAAAAGTCATCAACTGCAGCATAGAGATCCTTCTCAGGTGCAATTGTACGGGTGCAACAACTGCGATTACGAAACCAAATACAAGGGTGCTATGAAAAAACACCAATTGAAACACAAAGATCCTTCGCAGATTCAAACGTACAGGTGTAACGACTGTGATTACGAAACTAAATACAAAAGCCGTATCAAACAGCATCAGCTGCAGCATAAAGATACCTCACAGATTCAAATGTACAAATGTAACGACTGCAATTTCGAAACTAAATACAAGAGTTATATCAAAAGTCATCAACTGCAGCATAGAGGTCCTTCCCAGGTGCAATTGTACGGGTGTAACAACTGCAATTACGAAACTAAATACAAGGGTGCTATGAAAAAACACCAACTGAAACACAAAGATCCTTCGCAGGTTCAAACATACAAATGTAACGACTGTGATTACGAAACTAAATACAAGAGTTGTATCAAACGGCATCAACTGAAGCATAAAGATCCATCTCAGGTGCAGATGTACGGTTGCAATGACTGCGATTTCGAAACTAAATACAAGAGTTGTATGAAATGGCACCAACTGACACATAGAGAAAGTGTACCGACTGTGATTATGGGTCCAAATGCAGGAGTGGTATAAAATATTACAGGGTGAAGCATATAGAGCCTTCACCAGTGTATGAGCTTGCATGTTCTTCGCACCCACAAAAAACAAATGTGGGGGGTGAAGGCCCGTTGAAGCGCTTCCAGTCAAAAATGAAAGAATATGTATATATAGGACGATCCACGTCAAATCGATCAAGTCCAAAATTTGAGAGCACCTACGAAGATGGTTTTCAGCTTAAAAAATTCGTCTTCCCAAGTACTTTAAGATGCTAATTGGCAGAATTGAAAAATCCAAGATGGCGGACGTAATATGGCCCCTAGAAGTATGAGAAAAATAAAGAATCGTCCGATAAACTTCTCACAGTAATCAGATTAACGAGAAATTCATACCCAAATAGTCTGAACAGGTGCCCTTGACACGTTGGACATGAGTATGGAGTTATTTTTCAAAAATTCAAGATGGCGAATTTCATATAGTGACTTGTAAGGCTAAAAGCCTGAAATTGTCCATCAAAGGGAAGTGAACTGTGGATTTCACCCATAAATTGTATTTGAACAGATATTTCTCATGCGTTTCAGGTCACTGGAACGTGCCGTTGAATTTGTTTGGTGTAATATCATATATCGATTCTAACCTCAAATATTTGAAAAATTTCGATTTTTCGTCGATATAGCGAGCTAAACCTCAAAAGAATAGACAATTTTCGTGTTTTTGTGGTCGTTGAAACATGATAATGAGTTTTTTTTTAATGGTATCATATACGCTGATCCTAACCTCAAAAGTATTTGAGATATCTCGATTGTTTGTTGATATAGCGAGCTAAACTTTAAAAGAATAGACCATTTTCATGTTTCTATGGTCACTAAAATGTGAACTGGAGACGATTCGATATTGTGGTGTTTTTTTCCAGTTAATTATTCGGCAAGAAAGCAATTTTTCGAATCTATAGTCAAATAAATGTCATCTAGAATAGCTTTTCATTATAAACGTCATTAAGAGATGTACCCAGTGAATATTCCGTGACTCTCGATCAATTTGTGATAATTTCAACAATTGAGATAGGATCCTTCAGTGAGCAGGTGTTAGAATAATAATAATAAAATATTCAACTGGAAAAAACCACAATATCGAAGCGTCTCCATTTCACATTGATGATATTTATATTATAGCAGTTTAGTTAAGATTAACCATGCGTCCTATATAATTTATAATTTTCATTTGATTCTTCGTGATTTATGTATTTTTTTAGTATTATTTTAAGGCCTAAATATAAATTTAAATATTTAGATTTTATTGTACACTATTACATGATTATATATGTATGTAGGTGTGAGGTCCGAGGTTCAGCCAGACATTTTTAGTGTTGAATATTCATAATGTACATAATGTGTAATGTTCATAATGTGAGATAGTGAAATATTATGTCTAGCCCTGTGTTTATTTATGTTACGGTACGGGATACCGGTGTGAACCATAGAGAAGGCATTCGACTCTGAGTCTTCCTAGTATTCAGTTTATACTTTTACATATATGTATTTCATTTATTAACGTATTATTAAAGTAATTTAAGATTAAGTGAGTTGCTAATTTCGGCTTGTCCTGACATAGGATTAAATGAATTAAATACAATTTCAGTACATATGCATTACACTGTACTGATCTGTTTAAAGGAGCCCTTTACTTTTGTTTGTTTTTACACAGTTTTTGTTCTGTATACAGTAATCTGTAAATTGCTCTGAACCAAAATGATGACTATTCTACAATTCTAGGTCTGGGAACTACATGTTAAAATCGTGAGAATTAAATTTGTGGCGCCATCTTTCGAGAAAAAATGGTGCTAATATATGATACTTAATAAATATTTCAGTATACTTTAAATTAATAGGCGGTCTTTGTTTGAGATACTCTGTATAATATTTCAGTTCACGAGGCGGCCATGTAAGGTAGTGTCTACCATTATTGATAGATGGCGCTATCTACTTGAAAAAAGAAACGGGAATACGTAATGATTCCTAACATTTCAAAAAAAAATGATTGGTTTAAATTCTATTTGTAAACGTAATCAGTAAACGTTCAAAATTTTGTCCACCGACTCGTACCTAAACACGTTTGGGTACGCTTAATTATGTTTTGACCAACAAAAACCAATGTTATTTCCCAATAAAAATTGGTGATAGTTTTTAAGTCAGGAGAACGTGGTGGCCACGCAAATAAAAGATAATCTACTGGTATTAATGTTTGGAATGCTGGAAGTACATCACAGAGTTACAATTTGCTTTAAATCTAGTAGGACAAATTCTCAAATGCAAAATACATTATAGTTACCACTTTGTTTCAAGAAAATCGAAAACCGCTTAATACAGACAATGCAACCGTAATTATTTGCAAAGCGTCTTCCAGAACAAAAAACAGATTTTTCAGATGTAAACCAAGAACGCCATATTCTGAAGAACCAAATTAGTGCTGTGTGCTGTGTATAACAAAAATTGTTACTTCAATTTTTTCCAGCAATCCGTAATCATAGTGCAAGAATTATAGACTAGACTTTACCATTCTTGTTGTTCTCATAACAGAAGAGGAAGAAGAACAATAACCCTCACTATTCGATGTATTAATTGAGGTTAAACAATCGACGTAAGTAACGGTTTGATATTTACATTTCAATGAAAATTGTTGCAATGACTGGTGTTCAAGAAACTTCGTGCAAACTTTGCCTCGAAACTGTAACCGTTAAAGGTTTTGAGGTAATAGACAACGTTACTAGAGATATTTTGGATGTTCTTTTGCTGAAATTGGTAAGTCAGTGATAGATATGTATTAGTTCAGAATCGTTGATATGTATGGAAAAGGTCGGTTATCTCCTAAAGTAAGATAGCTATAAAAAAATTCATAAGACACGTTTTAGGGTTTTTTAAAAGCTATTGCTATAAAGAAAAGTTATGACGAAACAAAGTTGCTTTTTCTTTATTGGAACACCCTGTATATTATTCCATATTTTAATTCTTCTCGTAATTCTAAACAAAATTCATATAGCACATCATGTACCTAAACTTAACCGTTTTCAAGGTATCGAACTTTGAAAATCATTTCCTTATGAATTATACAAAAATATTTTAGCAGCAAAGAAACGGTTTTTATCGCCTTCTGAACTCAAAAGTTTTAAATCCGTGACGCAAACCGAAACATACAGACCTGCAAATAATTCCATTTTTCTCATGAAAGGCTTTCTCTAGACGATTTTCTCAAGCCACAATTTTTTTTTATCAAAACCTTTTTATTGTTGCTGCCCGTTTAAAAAAAATACGGCCACTGTAAACGTTTTCACCGCTAAAAGGGGGAAGTAACCGGAGAAAATTATCACCCAGTATATCGATTTGACTAAAACTTTAAGAAATAATACGCCACAATAGTCCAAATAAATGTGCCAAATTTTAACGCGATCGGTAAAAGTAAATTAAATTAGTTTTATTCTTGACAATTTTGAAGGCCTGTAACTAAAATCAAAAATTTTTCATTTAATTTTTCTTCGTAGGTCAAACGTTGTCGGTGAAATTTGCCGACACCCTGTATATATACGCAAAATATTCATATTTTATTTATATTTAAATTTAAACACTGTATCTCGGAAACGATACATATTTCGACCTACGCTTATATGAACTTTTTTTTACAAAATAACTTCGGCAACCACCCCCTAAAATATTTCGCACTTTTTTACAAACACCCTGTATAGGAATTGTCGTTTTGTCACGTTCCTTAAACCTTTTTTGTGCCATGTTTCATAAACCTATGACTTCATCGAGATTATTTTTTAAATAGCACTACCTATTTTTTTAGGCATAAAAGGTTAGCCCTTTTGAAGGGAAATCCTTCGATATAGGGTTTGGGCTACTTTACTTTGACAGATGCGAAAAATCACATAGATAATGGCGTTCCAGCAGACAGTATTTGCCGGGAGGAATTACTTGCATGAAATTGTTCCAAATAGGTGGATAGGTCGAAGAGGACCATTGAGTGGCCACCACGTTCGCCCGATTTAACTCCCCTAGATCATTTATTGCGGAGCTATTTAAAAAGCAGAGTTGGTAGACCGGACACCATCGAGGGCTTAAAGTGCGGGTCACTTTGAACATCTTCTTTAAGTCACCTAAAATTGTTAAATAAAAATCTTTAAGTTATTGTTTTTGAGAAACTCTTTCGCATTTTTTACATTAATTTAAGTAATACGTTGGTCTGGTTTTTTTTCGCGCCTGTTAAAGTAAAATAGACCAAACCCTACATCGACGCATTTCCCTTCAAGAGGGCTATTTATTTATGCCTAAAAAATTAGGTAGTGCTATTTTAAAAAAATGTCGATGACGTCATACGTTCATGAAACATTGCGCAAAAAAGGTTTAAGCAACATGACAAAACGACAATTCCTATATGTTAATAGACATTGTAACGAACCTTTTACTAATTTATTTGTTAAGTATCCGATGAACTATTATCTTTTCCTATGTCAGTAATGTAAGCGTTGAACTCTGTATTTATTGTGGGTCTGCGTACTAACATCCGACGAACCATTGATCTACGTCACAAACCGGCTATAAAAAACCGACCTCCGCCACCTGAGATTCAGCAGTGTTGATTCCCGCCTGTTCTCAGTACTTCCCCTATCCCGCCGTTTTCCCGAACAACCGCCAACCTGAGTCAAAAGTAGTTTTCCATTTTCCGTTTCACCGTATGTTAGTACCGACCGCCACCGAATTGTCCGTGGGAATTTATTTATTTACTTGTTTGCTTAAAATAAACTGGAGTATATCTATTGGGAAAAGTGGTTTCTTTTCTAATCAAGACCCCTGGTGTATCTTTCTCCACTGTTGTTACCCGGACGGCAACTTTTTGTGGGCCATCCAGGCCTCACGCTGAAAGTTCGTCACAACGTATTTTAACATTTTTATGAAAACGCAACACAAAATAAAATACGAATATTTTGCGTCGCTTCTGGGATGCCCTCTATTTCCCAATTAACTCACCTCAACACATTACAACAACAATAATTGATGTTTTCTGCCAAAGTGATTTTCTTTTTCTTTGGTTAAAGTTGCATATATTTCAGAAATTTGATAGCGACAGCAAAGAGGTTATATGTAACGTTTGCAGAAGAAAGTTAAACGCAACATTCGAATTTAAGGCAACTTGTCTCAAGACCGATTACACAATTATTCCATATGTGGATTGTGAAAAAATGTTACAAATCGATATAAGAGACGTGTATACGAAAGAAAAGACAAGCGAGTCAATGGATATTTCAGACGGTCACAAAATATGTCGATTGTGTATGGAGCCAGTAGAAAGTGAGTTTAGGTGTATACGTGAAGAGGAACTTGAAGCTATCGAGAAATTGGTTCCTGAAATGGTATGAATGATATTAAATTGTTACTTTTTTCGCAATTTAATGAAACTACTTTGCAGAATATAAATATCATCAAAGGTCCCGTTGTATGTAAGGAATGCTTTGATTCTGTGTGCACCCACAACAGTTTCCTAAAAAATTGCTTGGAAGTACAGGAAAAAATTGGAGGTATTTTTAATAGCGCAGCAACAGAAAGTCAGATAGATACGTCGCCATCTGTTTTATCCCTTAAGACTGAAAACCAGGACATAGAATTCGATATCAACGGGATGGAAATGTCAATTAAAGCTGAAAGTATCGACATAAAATCGGAAGATGAGGAAAGTAGGTAAGAGAAGACTTTTAACAATAATTTTACTAGGTAATAGTACATTTTGCCTTTCTTGCATTAATTGCCTGTATTTCTGAAGGTTTCCGCATAATTATTTTATTATTTTTAACATATCTTCAATAAAAATATTACTAATTGTCATCAAGAATTTGATTGATGTGCTAATAAAACTGAAATAATGTCTTGTGGTGTTCAGAAACTTGCATAATTGCATTTGCAACAACCTACGACCCCCTTAGAATTAATACCTGACTGGAAAATACCCTGTATATGTAATTTTTTCAGCGACTCGCTACTGCAGAGCTCCGATAGTGAATCATTCATGAAGAGTGTCCTTAGAGATGAGGAAGAGGATGGATGTAAACATGAGAATAAATCGACAAATGAATGTAATACAAAAGTCAAGCAGGACGACAAAGTATTTTACAAATGTGATAAATGTATTTACGGAACTGAAAGCGAGATCCGTTTTATAGCACACCGTGCGAGACACGAGAACGATTCCGAAGCATATAAATGTGATTCGTGTGAGTCAGAATCTAAAAATAAAAAATTTTTTCAGAAACACCGGTTGAGGCATAAAGATCCTTTGGAAACGCGTATGCACCGATGCGGATCATATGATTACAAGACAAAGCACAAGTGTGAGCTTGCTAAGCATCAGGTGAAACACAAAAGCGCATCTGAAGGACGATTGTACAAGTGCGACTTTTGTGATTTTAAAACAACGCGAAAGGTCAGTTTTAATAATCATTATATAAAACACAAAAACTCGATCAATCGTGTAGAATGTGACTATAAAACCAAATACACCGCATTACCGAATAAGGACACTTCACAACTGCCCATTTATAAATGTGATGATTGCACATACGAATCAAAGGATAAGACAAACTTTACCAGACATCAGTTGGTACACAAAGATCCTTCGCAGGTCAAAATGTACGGGTGTAATGCCTGCGACTACGAAACTAAATTTAAGAAATATATCAAACGGCATCAGCTGAAACATAAAGATCCTTCTCAGGTTCAAATGTACAAGTGTAAAGACTGCGATTATGAAACTAAATATGAGAGTGCTATTAAACAGCATGAACTGATACATAAAAATCCTTCACAGGTTCAAATGTACAGGTGTAACGACTGCGATTACGAAACTAAATACAAGAGTTGTATCAAAAGTCATCAACTGAAGCATAAAGATCTTTCTCAGGTTCAGTTGTACAGGTGTAATGACTGTGATTTTGAAACTAAATACAAAAGTTATATCAAACAGCATCAACTACAGCATAAAGATACCTCACAGATTAAAATGTACAAGTGTAATGACTGCGATTACGAAGCTAAATACAAGAATTATATCAAACAGCATCAATTGCAGCATAGGGTTCAAACGTACAGGTGTAACGACTGCGATTACGAAACTAAATACAAGGGTGATATGAAAAGACACCAAGTGAAACACAAAGATCCTTCGCACGTTCGAACGTACAAGTGTAATGACTGTAATTACAAAACTATATACAAGAGTTATTTCAAACAGCACCAACTGAATCATAAAGACCCTTCACAGGTTCAAATGTACAGGTGTAAGGACTGCGATTTCGAAACTAAATATAAGAGTTATATCAAACGGCATGAACTGAAGCATAAAGATCCTTCTCAGGTTCAGATGTACAGGTGTAATGACTGTGATTTAGAAACTAAGTACAAGAGTTGTATCATACAGCATCAACTGCAGCATAGAGATCCTTCACAGTTTCAAATGTTGAAGTGTAACGACTGCGATTACGAAACTAAATACAAGGATAGCATGAAGACACACCAACTGAAACATAAAGATCCTTCTCAGGTTCAAACGTACAGGTGTAACGACTGCGATTTCGAAACCAAATACAAGAAATCTATCAAACGGCATCAACTGAAACATAAAGAGAAGGTGTAGTGAATGTGATTATGAATTCAAATGCAGGATTAGTATAAAATATCACATGTTGAAGCATAGAGAGCCTAAACGAGTGGAAAGGTTCGGGTGAGTTTGTACGAGCATGCAGTGTTTGTGAATATAACTCGATGTACTAGGTTAGGCATTTGGTATCCTCTAATTATGATAGTGCGCTGTGGAAATAATATTTTGTCATTGACAGTTTTAGTGACGCATTCCTATGTATTCACACATCGTAGACAAGCTGTAGTAACAAGTCGCTTGCGCTCCACATTTCCAACAGGACATTGCGAAGAATTCTGCATTTTGATTTGCACTTCCACCCGTACAAAATTCAAGTTGTTCGCAGGTTAAAAGAAGTAGACAAACCATTTCGTATTGCTTTCTGTAGACATTTTTTACAAATTTTAGAAAATGATGAAAACCAATTAAATTTCTTGATGATGTCAAACGAAGCTCACTTCCATTTAAGCGGCTATGTGAATAAGAAAAATTATCGTTGTTGGTCCGACATGTAAATCCACAACAGCTTCATGAAAGACCCCTCCAAGATGAAAAAGTCGCCGTATGGTGGTGTGGTGTTTCATTGTTTGGTATCATGGGGCCGTACTTTTTTGAAGACAATAACGAAACTGTTACAATAAACTCCGAATGTTACATTAACATGTTACAGATATTTTTACGGCCCGAATTGCGAAGACTGTGACAAAATCATATTTGGTTCCGATAAGATGGAGCCACAGCACATCCAGCACGGCATACTCGATTTTGTTGCAAGAAATGTTCCTCGGTCGCTTGATTCAAAATTTGGTGACATAACATGGCCAACTAACTCGCCCGATTTGACGGTTCTCGATTTTTTCCTTTAGGGATATCTGTTGAAAAAGATTTACGAAAGGCGCCTCTGTACCATCCAAGAATTTAAAATTCGTATTTCTAAAGAAATAAATAATATTGGAACAGAAATGTTGGAATGAGTTATGCAAAATTTTAGAGAGAGATTACACAAATGTATAACACAAATTGCACATATTAAGTTTGTTATTTGTCATAAATATGTTTTTCGTCGTGTAGCAGATTGTTGAAAATAGGCGATAACCAAATGTCTAACCCGGTATAAGAAAAATTGTATCTGTCGTTTGATGACGCAGAAAGGTATGTCGCAGGTTCAAATGCATCAGTGTGATTCTAAAACCAAGAATGAGAAGTCTCTTAGGAGATATCTGTTGATGCACAAAAAACATTGGTGGGTTTGAAGCGCAAAATACAGTAAAAAATTGAGGCATTTAAGAGACCGACCATAAATATGTGAATGTGTAGAAACTTGTTGTGAAAAACATCGGTTCAAACGCAAAACTCTCACCGAAACACAAAGAGACGAGTGATTTTGGACTAGCGCTTTTGTAACAATGCATTAAAATGAATACTTTGTAATATGCTCTAACTAATGATATTGGTAGCCTTATTTTTATTCAGTTTGTTGTCAATAGTGGGAAAATTAGAGGCCAAATTTCAAAGAAAAACACCAAATTTTCTCAATTGTCGACGTTTCGTCACTTATCGTGACATCCTCAGGACAATTACAGATTTAAGTGTTTCACTGTGTTTTCCTAGTCTCGTTATACATAGTATTCTATTCTATTCTCTACCTATATCTATACTGTCCAAGATTTTGTTAAATGACATACTACTGACAACAAACTTTGTAATATGCACCTGCTTTTTCTATGTTCAAAAATGTATCTTTTTCATAACCAATATTCAGGGAGAATGTGTACATGTGTATTTTGAACAACTGCAAAAAATATTAGGAATAAAATAAATATGCAATAATACTAAACAGTAAAAGAAATATACATTGGTTTTCTTAATGGAAAACTGTTGAGAACTAGTTACTTCACTGTGGTATTTACGTATTGAGGGATCAACTAGGCGGTGTTGCCGATGTAATGGCGACTTGTAAACTCAACTTTTTAAGAAACTAAGAAGAAATAAATAAGCATTGGTTTAGTTAGATAATATGTCGGAAGTTTTGAAATATCTTTATAAAAATGTTCAAAGCCTCGTCCTCACTTCGACTGTCCACATGATTTTCGAGACAAGCGTTGCGGTAAACCAGAAAGCAATGCTTTGTAAATTATTATGTACCTAGAAGTGGGAAGTTTTTTATTTTATTTAAATTGTATTTGTATAAAATCAATTCACACTTCCAGCCTGATATTCATTATTTGTCCTGTCCTAAATTAATTATTTGTGTTGTCCTTATGGGAGTTGTGTACATATGGATAGCCATATTATGAAGACTTTAGCTTGAGAGGCTGTTGACTAACCAAATTTTGCCTTTATTTTCCATGTTTAAGTAAGTGTTTGTTATTTATTTCATTTTGACCCCTTTAATTTTTATATGTACACATTCAAAATTAACCCTGCGTCCTATGCAATTTATAGTTTTCACTTAATTCTTCGTAATTTGTGTAGGGGGAGCAGGATTACAAGTGCACAGAAACATTATTGTATTAACACTGTTCCCTATTGTATTTTCTTAGTACTATTTTACGGCCTAAATATAAAGAGCGACCGAAAAAAAGCCTAATTTTTCGCCCCTTTGTGATGCCTCGTAAATTTACTCCAAATATGTGCCAAAATATAGTCTATGATGAGACTTGAATCGTTTATAAGTTTTAGCTTGAGGCTACATTTCGTTTTCGAGTTTCGGTTGATTAAAGTTGTCATTTTTACATGGATTGTTGGATCGAGGTTACACCGCTAAAAAAAAATCGCTTGTACTTCATATGTGGCATGTGTATTCCGAAGTATTTTTTCGCGCTGAGCACGAATTTGCTATTAGAATTGCTTCATCACCCTTCGGTCTTCATGAAATGTCTGAAAAGCTTCAGAAAAATGAAGAATTTCGAAGATAGGTTAGGAATTTGTGATTAATACACATTTTTTTTTCACGGTTTCGTTATTAATCCCTCAATTGAGCTTGAATCTGACCTGATACAGGTCAACCAACTACTGAATTGAAATTAGAGACTTACATACTTCCTTCAAATTGGCGATATATCTTGCTCATATAACATAATAAACTTACAATCCAAGATTAATTCTTTGACTTCCAAATTACCTGTAGTCATAGAGATTAACGAACCTTTGATTTTAAATCAATGATTTCGTCAACCTTTCTGGGAAAGGTTTCTGAAGACCTTTCTCAGAATCTGAAGTCATAGAGATTAACAAACTTTTGATTTTAAATCAGCGACTGAAAACCCTATAACAATCCATGTAAAAATGACAACTTTAATCAACCGTAACTTGAAAACAAAATGCAGCCTCAAGCTAAAACTTATAGACGATTCAAGTCTCATCATAGACTATCTTTTGGCACACATTTGGAGTAAATTTATGAGGTCTCACAGAGGGTCGAAAATGTCGGTCGCTCTTTAAACTTTAGTTTTTATTGTGCACTAATATATATTATTATATTATATGTATGTAGGATTAAATTAATTAAATATAATTTCATTACATATACATTACAGTGTACTGAGCCCTTTACTTTTGTTTGTTTTTACACAGTTTTTGTTCTGTATATAAAAATCTGTAGATTGATCTGAACCAAAATGATGACTATTCTAGAATTCTAGGTCTAGAAACCACGTGTTAAAATCATGAGAATTGAATTTGTGGCGCCATCTTTCGAGTAAAAATGTTGCTATGCTAATATATGATACTTAATAAATATTACAGTATACTTTAAATTTATACGCGGTCGTTGTTGGAAATATTCTGTATAATAAAGAGGCGGCCATGTAGGGTAGTGTCTACCGTTATTGATAGATGGCGCTATCTACTTGGCAAAACGGAAAGACTATGTTGAAAGACGTAATGATTAATAACTTCAAAAAAAAAATAATAGGTTTAAATTCTATTTGTGAATATAATCACTAATCGTTCAAAATTATGTCCACCGACTCGTAAACAGGTTTGGGCACGCTTAATCATGTTTTGAGCAACAAAAAAAATGTCATTTCCCAATAAAAATAGGTGATAGTTTTTAAGTCGAGAGAACGTGGTGGCCACGTAAATAAAAGATAATCTGCTGGTACTAATGTTTGGAATGCTGAGAGTACATTATAGGGTTACCATTTGCTTTAAATCTGATAGAACAAATTTTCAAACGTTAGTTACCACTTTGTTTCTAGAAAATTGAAAACTTCACTTAATATAGACAATGCAACCGTAATTATTTGCGAAGCTTCTTCCAGAACAAAAAACAGATTTTTCAGATGTAAACCAACAGCGCCATGTTTTGAAGAACCAGACGAATGCTGTGCCGCTGTGCCCAAGAAAAATTGTTACGTCAATTTTTTTTTCCAGCATTCCGTAATCATAGTACAGCAATTATAGACGAGACTACCATTCTTGTTGTTCCAATAACAGAAGATGAAGAAGAGCAATTACCTTCTCTATACGATGATGTTTCTGTGGTATCTGGTTGAATGTTTTCGTTAAGGTTAAACAACCAGCACAAGTTACGGTTTTATATTTACATTTCAAAGAAAATTGTTGCAATGGCTGGTGTTCAAGAAAGTTCGTGCAAGCTTTGCCTCAAAACTGTAACCGTCCAATGTTTTGAGGTAATAAACAACGTTATTAGAGATATTTTAGATGTTCTTTTGCTGAAATTGGTAAGTCAGTGATAGATATGCATCAGTTGGGGGTCGCTGATATGTATGGAAACGGTGCATTATCCTAAAGAGCTATGGAAAAATCATAAGATACAAATGTTTTATGTTTTTTTTTTTAATTCTATTGCAATAAAGAAAAGTTATGTATATAGAATCAGTCAAAAAGTTATGACTAAATAACGTACCCTGTATATTATTCCATATTTGAATTCTTCTCGAAATTCTAAACAAAATTTATGTAACACATCATGTACTTAAACTCAACCGTTTTCAAGGTATCGAACTTTGAAAGTCATTTTCTTATAAATTATACAAAAATATTTTAGTCCATCAAGTTACCTTTGAAAATTGCTACTTCCATAACAACGCCGCATCGTTTTTTTGTCTAATAGTGATTATCTTGACAACACACGTTAAAAATGCATTTTGTGAATAATTTTCTCGCAAAACGGCACGTTTAAGTGAAACCGAGCTTATTGGAGTTTTAATGATCATAGGATATGGTGATGGAATACCAAGTAGTGGACATGTTTCACGAATTGCATCTCGATCGGGAACGCATTTCTAAATCACACCGTTTTCTTATAGCTGGAGGTGTTACAGATCGACGAAAAGGTGGAAGACCAGTAAGCGTTACACTTGAGAAATACGTTCCCGATGGGGATGCAATTAATGAAAGATATGCACTACTTCGTCACAATTTTGTCTTCTATCACCATTTCCTATGATCATTAAAACTCCAATACGCTTGGTTTCATTTAAACGTGCCCTTTTTTGCGAGAAAATTATTCACAAAATGCATTTTTAACGTGTGTTGTCAGGATAATCACTATTAGACAAAAAAACGATGCGGCGTTGTTATGGAGCTAAAACCTTTCAAAGGTAACTTGATGACCTATAAACTTAATGGACTAGAATTTTTTTTCTAAGATTTATAAAAAATTATTTTCAAAGTTGGATATCTGGAATACTGTTAAGTTTAGGTACATGTGTTGTATAAATTTTGAGAATAATTGAAATATGGAATAACATACAGGGTGTTCCAATAATGTAAAACAACTTTGGCTTGTCATGATTTTTTGACTGATTCTGTATACATAATTCTTCTTTACTGTCATAGATTTAAAAAACACCTAAAATATTTGTGTGTTATGATTTTTCGATAGCTTCTTTAGGAGATATTCGACTCTATCCGTACATATATATGTATACAAGGTGTCCCATTTTAATGTACCAGGCGGCATAATTTATTTAGTTCGACTTTTATAAAAAAATATTTCGAACAAAAGTTATCAGGTTTCTAGGGGGTCAAATTATATTGTGTGACAAAAATACTAACAGCATACCACCTGTGCCGTCATTTAAAAGAGTTCCGTAGATATACTCTGATGTGTTTCCTACTCGCAACTCTCATTAATTAAATTGTTATTAACATTTTAGTGGAAAAAACACGTTTTTTTAGTTTTTTTTTGCTTATAAAATCAAAACTACTAGAACAATCTCAATTCCGTAAGTGTAAAAGTAGTAATAAATTAAATTTCGAAGGTAATGAGAGGTCGAGCGATCCGATTGGTTGATTAGAACGGGAGAAAATCGGGAAAATTCGGCATTTTTTTCAAATATTCATAACTTTGTCATTTATGAAGATTAAGACCTGAAATTTGGCACGGAAGTAGATAATTATATCAACTTTAAGTGTGCAAAAGGCAGGCGCTGTCAGACCAATAGTTTCTGCGCCAAATTTTTTATGAATTTTTTTGCCGACAGTATGCTTGTGTTAAAAATGGTCCGATTTTAATTATAATGTCGGTTTTCAAAACTAGAAGTAAAATACTATAAAACGTATATTTCAAGTTTTCGTTCAAATGTGCGAAATGGAACATGCACTTGACCATCAGTGTAAATTGATTAAAGTTGCATATATTTCAGAAATTTGATAGCGACAGCAAAGAGGTTATATGTAACGTTTGCAGAAGAAAGTTAAACGCAGCATTCGAATTTAAGGCAACTTGTTTGAAGACCGATTACACAATTATTCCGTATGTGGATTGTGAAAAAATGTTACAACTCGACTTAAGGGATGTGTATACGAAGGAAAAGACCAGCGAGTCAATGGACATTTCAGATAGTCAGAAAATATGTCGATTGTGTATGGAGCCAGTAGAAAGTGCGTTTAGGTGCATACGTGAAGAGGAACTTGAAGCTATCGACAAATTGGCTCCTGAAATGGTATCAATGATATTAAATAGTTACATTTTTCGCAATTTAATGAAACTATTTTGCAGAATATAAATATCATCAAAGATCCCGTCGTATGTAAGGAATGTTTTGATTCTGTGTGCACCCACAACAGTTTCCTAAAAAATTGCTGGGAAGTACAGGAAAAAATTAGAGGTATTTTTAATAAAGCAGCAACAGAAAGTCAGACAGATACGTCACCATCTGATTTATTCGTTAAGACTGAAAACCAGGACAAGGAATTTGATATCAACGGGAGGGAAATGTCAATCAAAGCTGAAAGCATCGACATAAAATCGGAAGATGGAGAAAGCAAGTAAGAGAAGACTATTTTAACAATAATTTAATAGTATAACCCCAGATCTTATTTAATTTTGGATCTGTTGCATACATTTTTCGTATTTCTGAGGGTTTTCACACAATTAATTATTTTTAGAATATTTTCAATAAAAGTATGACCTAGATGAATACGCCCGGTATATGTAAAATAGATATCCTGGCGAACCGCTTGCGTTCGGCCACCGTTTTTTGTTGAATATTTTTTATTATTTTTTTAATTAGTAGCAGTTAGTTTGATTCACGCATGGATAGAATTTTGTTGTATATTTCTCTTCTTGGGAAATAATTAATAATTGTTTATAATTGGTTTTGTGAGTGAATCCTAGGTAGAAGTCGAGTGCATTTCCTTTTCCCCTTTTCCTTTTCCCTCGATCTGAAGAAATATCAATTGCATCACATTTTGGTGAGTCCACTTGAAAAGGGCTATTTGGGCCCCACCACCTAATTGTCGTCAAAAATTTGATTTATATGATAATAAAACTGAAATAATGTCTTGTGGAGTTCAGAAAATTGCATAATTGCATTTGGAAAAATCTATGACCCCTTAGAATTAACACTTTACATTGAAAAATACCCTGTATACGTAATTTTTTCAGCGACTCGCCACTGCAGAGCTCCGATAGTGAAACATTGATGAAGAGTTTCCTTATAGATGCAGAAGAGGATGGATGCAAACATGAGACTAAATCGACAAACGAATATAATACGAAAGACAAGCAGGACGACAAAGTATTTTACAATTGTGATAAATGTATTTACGAAACTAGAAGCGAGAATGATTCGGAAGCATATAAATGTGAATCGTGTGAGTATGAAACTGAAAATAAAAAATTTTTTCAGAAGCACCGGCTGAGGCATAAAGCTCCTTTGGAAGTACGTATGCACCCATCCGGATCATTTGATTACAAGACAAAGCACAGGTGTGAGCTTGCTAAGAGTCAGGTGAAACACAAAAGCGCATCTGGAGGGCGATTGTACGAGTGTGACTTTTGTGATTTCAAAACAAAGCGGAAGGTCAGTTTTAATGGTCATTATATAAAACACAAAAACTCAAATAATTATGTAGAATTACCGAATAAGGACACTTCACAACTGCCCGTTTATAAATGTGATGATTGCACATACCAATCAGAGAATAAGACACATTTTACCAAACATCAGTTGGTACATAAAGATCCTTCGCAGCTCAAAATGTACACTTGTAATGACTGTGATTACAAAACTAAATACAACTGTGCAATCAAACAGCATCAGCTGAAACATAAAGATCCTTCTCAGATTCAAATGTACAGCTGTACTGACTGCGATTTCAAAACTAAATACAAGAGATGTATCAAACAGCACCAACTGAAACATAAAGATCCTTCACAGGTTCAAAAATACATGTGTAATGACTGCGATTTCAAAACTAAATACAAGAGTTGTATCAAAAGTCATCAACTGAAGCATAAAGATCTTTCTCAGGTTCAATTGTACAGGTGTAATGACTGCGATTTTGAAACTAAATACAAAAGTTATATCAAACAGCATCAACTACAGCATAAAGATACCTCACAGATTAAAATGTACAAGTGTAACGACTGCGATTACGAAGCTAAATACAAGAATTATATCAAACAGCATCAACTGCAGCATAGAGTGCAATTGTATGAGTGTAACGACTGCGATTACAAAACTAAATACAAGGGTGATATGAAAAGACACCAAGTGAAACACAAAGATCCTTCGCACGTTCGAACGTACAGGTGTAGTGACTGTACTTACAAAACTATATACAAGAGTTATTTCAAACAGCACCAACTGAATCATAAAGACCCTTCACAGGTTCAAATGTACAGGTGTAACGACTGCGATTTCGAAACTAAATATAAGAGTTATATCAAACGGCATGAACTGAAGCATAAAGATCCTTCTCAGGTTCAGATGTACAGGTGTAATGACTGTGATTTAGAAACTAAGTACAAGAGTTGTATCATACAGCATCAACTGCAGCATAGAGATCCTTCACAGTTTCAAATGTTCAAGTGTAACGACTGCGATTACGAAACTAAATACAAGGATAGCATGAAGACACACCAACTGAAACATAAAGATCCTTCTCAGGTTCAAACGTACAGGTGTAACGACTGCGATTTCGAAACCAAATACAAGAAATCTATCAAACGGCATCAACTGAAGCATAAAGAGAAGGTGTAGTGAATGTGATTATGAATTCAAATGCAGGATTAGTATAA